TCTTTGCTATTGTTACCAACATTATTATGACGAGTTAGGACCAAGCCTTGACCAGCACTGAAATGAAGTACATGCCTAATTAGACTTCTGGAAAGACCATTCACTAACTTCCCAGATAGCATCAGTGCAAAGCAGTGTCTTGGACGAATTCAGATGTCTTGGGAGGGGTGGAGTTTGAAATGAAGTAGAACTTGGATTCTGGGGACCAAGAACTCCATACCCTACTAGTGACCCTACTAGTCCCTGGGGCTGAAAAAGCTTTGGCTAGCCTGGATATGATCAAGAAGAGAGAACAATAAAAAGTCCCATGAGGCTTGTGGTACAGAGAGATCAGACCTTTCTGAACCCCAGGGTCAGACCTGGATAAAGCCTATTGTAACCTCAACAAAGATAAAAACCAGGGTCTTAATTTTTTCCACCCCCTTTTTTCCTGTCCTGTATCATATGGGTGATCTAGGATGCATTCTAATGGCTCCACTCTCTACATACTAACTCTTCACTTGGGGCTAGGAACCTCCAATATGAGGATCCTCTGATTAGCACCTCAAGCTTCAACTCTTTGAGTTTTCATCTCTTGATTCTTATTATTAAACTGTAAGTATTGGAATCAACACACATGTTTATAAATAACAATGGCTGGGAACTTGTACTCCTCATGAAGAATTTTAAGTCCCATGAGATGGGGAGTCCACCACCTATGATACACATTACACAAATGGATACTCTTTAAATGTTAACTGTCTGACGTCTATGCCTCTCAGTTCTGATACTCTGTTCTCAGCGTCAAAGGTGGAAAAGTCAAATAGCACTAGATGTTCCTAATCTGTTTGTTTTGCTTTCCCAAGAGAATCACCTTGCACTTCCCTGGGCAGTTTCACGGGGTGGTTCAGCACATCATAACCCGATCCAACCAAGTTTTCTGGCAAGTGACATTCTAGAGCTGAAGTTAATAACCGTGAGGACAAACCAGGGTCTCTGACTTTATCTATTAGGTCGAAGATTCCAGAATGCCTGTTCTTGTTCGCTTGTCTTTTTCCCACACTTTATTTCATGGCAGACTTTGCATTGATGAAGTGGTAAGGCTTATATGACATACATATACAATAACGAAAAGAGCTTTGACACCAAACAGGAACTCTCTGTGTGAACAAGTCTTACTGTCTGATCTTGGGAGAGGACATGCTATTCACTGTTCCTTGATGTAATCCTATCCCTCTCTGTTGGAAAAAATAGAAATTGTTGCATATGCCATGATTAGAATTTTTGATATGCTCCCTTTTTCCCTGCCGTACTTATATTCTAACACAATTGAAAATATTGCCTCAATAAGACCCACATGAGAAGTAGGTGTAGTCTCTTTGCATTATTCAAGGCCTCCATCACCCAGGAAGCGCTGGCCTAGTTTCTCTCCTCCATAGGGACAATCTGCACAGCTCATGTGCAATTTGACTGCTAGCAGCTATGGCAGGTAGTATTTTTCAGCCAAAACCCACACAACCGTAATTTAGTGAGAAAGTAGAAGGCTCTTGGGAACTGATCTGTAAGAAATGAATCATCTGTTCTGTTCGGGAAGCCTGATATCCAGAGACGACTCCCTAAGGAGCCTGTGATGTGTTTCCAATCAGGAAAGTGTGCGGGGCACACTGCCTGGTGTCACACTGGCTTGTTTTTTAGTCAACCAGGAAATGGTACCTTTTCTCACTAAAGAGCTTGGACTGAGGATGGACCATGTAATGGCAGCCCAGTCCAGTCATTCTCCACTTCATCTGCACCAAACCATTGGGGAAGTTTGAGAAATCACACAATCAAGTCTTTCTTGGGTAAAGAAGATGCATTGCGTAGGGGAGATGGAGGTCCTAGGCATCTGCCTTTTAAACTAGCACATCAGGCAATTTGTCCACAAGATCAATTGTGAGACACACTGGTGAGTTATAGTCACAATGCTCCATTCGGTGTGAATCACAGGGTGCCCAGGAGAAAATTCCTGCATGAGGAACAAACGGTTTAAGCAGGGCAATAGACAAGAATACTAAACACTAGCAGTGATCCTCTTGGCTTGGTTCATCATGGGGTAGCTTTCAGAGCACCTTCTTGGGTGAGGTCTCTGTATCAACTGTGTGAGAGAGGCAAGGTGGTGACTGACATTCCATTTCACATATAAAGAGAAAGGGGGGGTAGAGAGGGGGACAAGGGAGGGAGGGAGGGAAGGAGGAAGGGAGAGAGCACTTAACTTCCCCAAAGTTCCTAAGTCTGATATGTGAAAAACATGAATTATACACAAGACTTTTGAAAGCTTCTGCTTAAAGGAGGGAAACTATAATAAATACACAAAAGCCCTGAGAAACAGGGGCCCAAAGCTCCACTTGGGGGACACTTATTGTTGTCTTTATCATACAGAAAACTGGGGGACACCGTATATGCTCATCCACAGGGTGATCAAAGAAGAAACAAAGTAACTGTCATGCAGTTGGAAGTTCTGAAAGGTCATTGTGTGGGGTTTTTGGGGGGCACCAAGAGAGAGAAAAAGACTAGAATAAGATACAAGGGAGGGGAAGGAGAAACAAATGCAGGAAGGAAGGAGAGAGAAGGGTGGCTACTGCTCTTTGCTATTTCCTTTGGTACTATTGTGAATAAGCACCTTTGATTTAACGTCCTTCAGCAGAACCTTCAGAGGATCCTAGATAGAACATAAAATCTAGATGATGTCTCTAAACCAAATTTTATATGAATTTGAGACATATCTGATATAGAAAAGGAAAGAAAATCCCCTAATGTTTTTGTGAACATCTTAGTTCTGTATTACCTATAATTATACTGCTTACTTTATCTTATTTCATGTACATATATATATACACAAAATAATAGTATAGAAAAGGTATTGGATTATATAAACTTTATATTATATAATAAATATGTAAATATAAGAAAACATATGAGTTTTATGTTATAGAGTTTATATTATGAAAATAAAATATAATTTAAAATGAAAATTATTCTACATTTTTTGAGATATAACACATTCAGAGAAAAGATTTTTGTCTCATAGATGTTGAATCTTTGAATCTTGAAACAGGGTTTAGAGTGAAAGGAAAAAAATATAATAACAACACATATTTCATTGGTGACCAGTCCAGAAAACATTTCTGACTGATCACTACCATGCACCATGATATTGAGTCTTATTAATATTGACTGTGTGATTTGTCAGAATTGAGTAACATTCAAATTTCAACAAAGCATTGTGTACCCTGTTCTGGGTAAGCCATAGAGGTTCCAAGACAAAAAAGTGAGGTCTCAAACTCACTGGGTAGCTGAGAATGACCTTGAGTCGTAACTGTGCACCACCACCCTTGAACTACTTATTTTTGGCAAAAAATAAAATTGAGGGTGATATATGTCTATCAACCCAGCACTTTGGAAGTACATTCAGAGGAATCAGGAGTTCAAAGCCAAGGCTAGCCTCAACCACATAATGAGTCTGAGGCTAGCCTAGGTTACATGAGATCCTATGTCAGAAAACACAGACCAGACCAAACCAAAACACAAAATAAAATGTTCTCTGTGAGCAATTGTCATTACCAAATTTTTCGAGAGGGGATTGATAGTAAAACAAAACAAAATAAGTACTATCTCCTTTTCATGTATTTAATGTAGGTGACACCAGGAGGAAAATGGTGATCTAATTCCACATAGGTGACCATTTCTTAGTCAAACATTCTGTTCAGGGAGCTGATGAAGCTGAGGAGAGTCCTCTGGGAGAACCAGCCAGCGGAGTGGTGGTTTCAGGAGCTCCTGGACCACCAACCGCATCAGTGGCCATCAGTAAATTAACCTTGTTCTAGAAGTTTGTTCTTGTCAAATGCAGATGTGGCAATATTTACTCAGCAAATATTTTTAGAGCACCTACCCTGCCCAAAAGCTCTGTGTTAGAACACACTTGCGTGTTTCAGTCAACCCTCCAGGCGATTCTAATGCGTGCATGGGTTTAACAGCAAATACAAAATGGGCTACACTCAGTCTCTGTCCCCAGAAGGTCTGATGGATTTCATCAGATGTGGAAGTTCAAACATGAGCACATGGCAAGCTTCTCTTGGAAGTTCTTACCAATAGGCATAGCAGGGACCCTGCTGTTTGAAGACAGGAGGTATATGGTGTGTGGTTTTGAATAAACGTTTCCAGTTTTAGAAAAGGGGAAATTCTTTTATTCTCCTGGCATGCCTGATACACTAGAAAAGAGGCATTAATGTCCAGCACCTCCCATCACTATGGGACTTTGGAAATAGTTCCAGGCCATTTCCTCCAATTAATTTACTGAATAATTGAAGGACTTTCAAATTTGTTTTGCCGTTGTTGTTAATGTCTTCTTTATAGTTTTGGGATTTTTAATGGAAAAAAATTCAAACCCAATCTCTGAATGCTTCTTATGAAACTAGAGGATGGAGAATTCATGTTTGGGGTGGCGTCTTCTAACTTCCAATTGCTGCTCTGAGTGGAGATAGATCAATTTTTGTTACTAATCAGCCACTCTGCTAACAGTTTCTTTGAGACACATTTATTTCACAACTAGTAGAGAAATCTTTGCTCTGAAGGGGCTATAGGCCTTGGAGTCACACGAGAAGCAGTTTTTGCAAGTCACTGCTGTTTGGAATATCTACCTGCATGGGGCCACTAAGTCAGACACACTGCCTTGCCTTACACACACACACACACACACACACACACACACACACACACACACAATGTAAAATAGCCATCATTTTATAGAGCATTCAGCATAGATGAGTACTGGATTGTGTGTATTAATCTGTTGAAATAAGGGCGGCGGGGCTGCGTCCCCAACACCCCAGATGCTTGGCTAGCTCATGCCCGAAATAACAACACACAAACTGTATTCATTTAAGAACTGCTTGGCCCATGAACTCTAGCCCTTACAGGCTAATTCTTGCACCTGGACTAGCCCATTTCTAATGATGTGTGTAAGCACCCCAAGGTGCGCTTACCGGGAAGATTCTAGCCTCCATCCATCCTGTCCGGGAGCAGAGCAGAGTCTGACCTCACTTCCTCTTCCGCCCAGAATTCTATTCTGTTTACTCCTCCCATCTATGTTCCAAGCCATGAGGCCAAGCAGCTGGTTTATTATAACTTAACCAATGAAATCAACAGATTGATATATGACACTCCCACATCACTTCCCCTTTTTCTGTTTAAACAAAAAAAAAAGAAGGCTTTAACTTAACATCCAAAGCTCTAGAAATGACAGAGACATCTCGCTGCCTGGACAGTCACCCAAAGTTCCTCTGTACCGTTGGGGCATCCATCTTCGGCCTACAGGCCCATAGTTTCCAGCAGACATTTCCACAAAGCAGGAAATTTCAAAGGCAGTCACTATCTGCTTGTCCTGAAGAATGTCTTGCAGACTCTTTCATGAATCAGGAACCCCGAAAGATCATCTCACCTTTAGGCAAGTTCAGCAGTCCTCTCTCTGCGGGTTCTCTGTGTCCAGTTTATGCAATAGTCCAGGCAAGAGCAGTTTCTTGCCCAAATGGCTATCAAACTCCATAAGGATCCTCTTCGATGCCCATCTTCCTCTTGAAGTAGATTGGTGCTGCCAGGAGCAGAGTGTCTCATTGTCATGAAAAGTCCTAAGTTATTAAAACATTTAAAATGCCATATTCTATAATCTTTGAAAAATATGAAGAATGCCTATCTAAAATATATCTATGCACATCTAGAAAATCTTAACTAACATGACTACAAACTTAACTATTATTAATGATTATTCATTAACAACCTATATACATTACAAAATTAACCTTAAATTTAAATCACTAAAGCAAAATCCATATCAATGTAAATTATTCATACCTATATCATCTCCCCCTTTAAATGTAAAAGAACATTTATAAACAATATTTGGGAACATGGGCGCAGTTTTTTCTCTCCAAACTGCTTCCTGCTGAATGGGGGCGTCGTTAATTAGGTCTTTCATGGTATAACCTGTGTGCTAGTTTCATCTCAGTTGGCAGTTGAGCGAAGCAATTTTCTGAAGGTATTCACAGCAACCGTTCAGGAGGGCGTGGTCCATCATACCATATCGGAATAGAAGAAATGAACAGGGTCTCATCCTCTGTGAAAACAAAATAAGAAACTCCTTTCCAAAGTATCATGTCCTTAGATCCAAATTTCAAAGTCAAGGCATCAAAATCTCTACGATGGATTAGTTCAGCAGCATTTATAAACAAATATCTTTTAGCATCTGTTGCTCCTTCCTCAGCATTCAAACAATTCAAAGAGAGCATAATAGTATACAGTATCAAGATTCTCTGTGTATTTTCCATCTTTGTACGCTTTATTTTAACCTCTATTTCGTTTATTTTTACTTTTATTTTATATTCTCTGTATCTCTTTGACCTGGAATAACTCTGTAGACCAGGCTCTCCTTGAACTCTCAGAGATCCGCCTGTCTCTGCCTCCCAGGCATTGGGATTAAAGGTGTTTGCTACCACACCTTGAACTCACAGAGATCTGTTTGTCTCTGCCTTCTAGGCACTGGGATTAAAGGCGTGTGCTACCACACCTTGAAGTCACAGAGGTCAATCTCCCTCTGCCTCCCAAGTGTTGGGATTAAAGGCGTGTACTACCACACACAACTTCTCTTTTTCTTACTTTTTTTTTAAAACTTTTAACTTTTAGCTTGCATATATTTTTAACACACTGTAAATCATTTAAACATTTTCTTTATCTTTGAATCTCTTTACTGTATCTCTCTCTTTTTCTGACCACACGAGCCTTTAAATTACTGAGCAATATGAGTAGGATTAAAGCCGTGGCTTTGCCAGCTAGATCCAGTCCATTCCTTAGCTTTCCAGCCTCATGGCGGAGATACAGGCTGTAGCCATGTTTATAGCCACAATTCTATGGCGTTTCAAGGTCCCTGCCAGCCAGCGAGCTACAACAGACAACAGTCAAGTCCTCTCTCGGTAGTTGGCCCTCCTGCCTCAGTCAGAGTTTGCCCTGGCAGGACGGCCCAGAAAGCCGGCATTTTTAAACAGCACAGCTTTTTTCCTGCTACGGCTGAAAACCGAAAAGCATGCGTTCAGCTTTTCACCAACACCGTTTAAGTGTTTCGTGGCAGGACCTCTTAATGAGCTGCAGGGTTTTGCAGCTGAAGCTGAGTCAGGAAGCCTCTCTTAGATGAGAGTGCTTGCTTGCCTCTAGCAAGCAGAGTAGACCCAAGAAATTTCTGCTACCAAGAAAACATGCTTCACTCCATTCTTTCCCAAGCTTTCTCAGGCTTTTTGTGGATTCAGTTAGCCTCACGTTTGGGCGCCATCTGTTGAAATAGGAGCGGCGGCGGGGCTGCGTCCCCAACACCCCGGCCGCTTGGCTAGCTCATGCCCGAAATAACAACACACAAACTGTATTCATTTAAGAACTGCTTGGCCCATGAACTCTAGCCCTTACAGGCTAATTCTCGCACCTGGACTAGCCCATTTCTAATGATGTGTGTAAGCACCCCAAGGTGCACTTACCGGGAAGATTCTAGCCTCCATCCATCCAGTCCGGGAGCAGAGCAGAGTCTGACCTCACTTCCTCTTCCACCCAGAATTCTATTCTGTTTACTCCTCCCATCTATGTTCTAAGCTATGAGGCCAAGCAGTTGGTTTATTATAATTAACCAATGACCTTCCTCCATCATTAATCAGTATATTCTTCATAAGAATTAAGCTATTGCTTTCATAGGTAACTGTCTCATTACATATCTCACATTCGAATCATTACCTTTCACTATGTTATAAATCCCTCTATTCTATGATGGTGCGTGGGGTCCTGAGGACTGCTTTGTGTGAAGACTCTTGTGGCAGAACTTCATACTCTTGCAAATGAGCAAAAATTTCACTTTCTTTGTCTCTGGAGCCTGTGAAGACAGCCACTGCTTTAAGCTGGCAATTTACTCTCACTGAACAGCCATTTCACGAGACCCTGTAGAGTGGATTGATGCATGAGTCTATGATGTATTACCGGATTAAGGAACATAATTCTTGTTTAAGGGTTCCATGCTTCCCTTGGCAAGCTGAAGAGAAGCTAATCATATTAATAAAGAAACTACCCATTATAGACTTTGATATTATACCTGTCTTCACATTATATCTGCAAGGCAGTTTTACTTCCTAATGATTTAGGAATTAGGAATTTAGTGGATTTAGCTCATGAATGAGTAATTTGCAAACTTTCAACTTTATAGTGTTTAATTATACAGGTCCCTTTTGTCATTCCAGGAAAAATAGAGGAAGTAATTAACTAACCAATTTCTGGGGTAAGAAAAGTATCAAGCAAAAATGACAGCATAATGTTGATCCAGGATCCTTCCTTCTTTCTTCCCCTTCCTCTTCCCTATAAATGGCAGCTTCTGTATTAAGCACAGCACACAGAGGGGATCTCACATCATTTCCCTTCCCTCTCCCTTCTCCCTTCCCTTCTCTCCTGAGACAATGTCTTACAGTGGAGCCCTGGCTGGCCTAGAACTTGTTATGCAGATCATGCTGGCCTCAGACTCAAAGAGAGCCTCCTGCTTCTGCTTCCCAAGTGCTGCGATTAGAGGATGCAGCACCACACCTAGCCTGTGATACTTTTAATTTACACCTCAAACTGGCTTAGAATTGCCAAGTGCTTGGAAACGGTGATGTTATCATTGTTGGGAATGTTGCTTTTCGTCCACAAATATTCTTACCTCAAAGTATCCTTCCAGAAAATTAGAACTTTAATCCACCCAGTATTGCTTAAGCTACTAAACTTTTTTTATTGAAATCGCAAATATGTAGTCATAATTTTCTCCAAGAATTCTCTCAGAAGGCAGCCCCCATATACTTAAGACCAAAATATAAATCAATTGTTATCAAAAATTAATAATGGCCTTGACTTGCTTTTTTTTCAGTCAATAGAAATATAATTACATCTTGAGCTTGCACACAATTGTTTGAAAACATAAAAAGCAGAATCTCTTCTCCAAACACAAGTTTTCCCTGCTAATTATTTGTCATAGTTTGGCAGTCAAATTCATGGACATTACATAAACAATACTGAGAATTGTGCTTCCAATTGCCTTCTTGGCAAAAGGTCTGAAACTCTTGGAGTCCCATGCTCAGAAGCTAGATCTCGGTGAAATATTAAGCAACGGACTCTTAGGTATAGAACAAGAAAGGTGACTAAGTCCACTCATTTGGAAAAACACTTCTCTGTCTTTCACAATATATACAGTTTTACCCATTTGACTCATACCTGGGGTGTTAACTGTTTTCCCTAACTCTCCCTCTCCGTGGAAAGTCCATCCTTTTCAGCAGATGCAAGCTAGTTAGTTTGTGGTATCTCAAGATAAAAAGTATCCTCTAAACACTTAAAATTTATTATTTGTTTGTTTATTTTTCAAATGCTTTTAGGCTAAGAAGAATTTGAGGCTAATTTTGGGCAAAATGTAAATATAATAAATAAAATCAGAACCAGTTTAAAACCCAAAGTAAAATTCACACACACACAATAGATACAGAAGTGAATTTTTTAATGAATGGAGATTCCAGATAAATACCACAAAATCAGTCAACCAGTGGATTTAACATTCTTTACTTAGCCAATCGTACATAAAACTAGGTTTTGCTCAAGAAAAGTGTGGAACTACTGTTTTTGGCTTGCTTTTGCTGAATTTCTCTAAAAATTAACTTGTACCTTTCATTGTACAATTGACTGGGACAAAATATTTTGAAAATATTGAGTAAAATAACATTTGAACTAAAAATAACTCTATTCAAACTGCACTTCATCAGTTAAAATAAGGTATGGAAGAGTTAACCAGTGTTGTTGAGTTTAGAAAAATGATATGTTTGAATATCAAATGACATCCATAACTCGAAGGGCATTTTAATACCACAAAATACTAAACAAGCGCCAGAGATTGTGATGACATTTGTTAATGTTTTTCAAGATGAGCAGGTTTTGTTTACCTATAGTGATGGGTAATTCATGTGTCAGCTTGATTGGCAGAGCCAGTACAGTGCTGAGGAGGAGATGGGCCTTAAAGTGGGTGAAAAGAGACCGCCCCAGTGTAAGTGGACATCAGTGTGTCCCTTGTGGGCAAGAGAAGAGCTGAAAAAGATGGAGAGAGGTCAAGTTTCTTCCCAGACCAACTTCTCGGCCCTTGGGCTTTGGTGTTTCTGAGTCTTGGGTCTTTAGGCTTGGGCTGGGTCTTAAATTATCACTTCCATCATCCTCAGATTCCGAGTTTGCCTGGGAACCATGCTGTTTCCCCAGCTTGCAGGTAAAGAGCTTGTCTTCTGAGTATCTGACCTCCTGATCCATAATCAA